GTCTGTTGCCAGGCAGTTTCTGTTGTCAGTGGCCATCTTTTCATGGCCTTCTCATTCCACCACATTTCCCCCTTTTTGTTTATTTTTGAGCAACGGGAGGCATGATTCTTGGCCATACCATTATTGACTCCATTTCCATGTGGACTCCATAAGCGGCTGTTCCTGTCTTAGGTTGTCCCCCAGGGGATCTTACTCGTCATTGACCAGTGCTCAAAATGGGAGACCACAGGAGTACTTGCTTAGATGGGGGTAGGAATGAGGAACAATGGTAATCAGGATGGCATGACTGCACACAAGCTGTGGGCCGTTTGAGTGGCTGACCAGAACTAGTGGGTATAAAACAGTAATGGATGTGGCTATGGGCAGTTTCTCAGGGTAGCATGATAGGGCAGGTGCATCCACTAACAAGGCGGACTCTCAGTCTTGTTCAGCTGGTTCTGGTTGGCTGTCAGTTGCAGGCTTGATGTTTTTGGCTGGTACCCAAATGGGCTGTCCCGCATTCTCTGGAAAGACACAAGCATATTGGAACCAGTCCCATATCTTAGAACCTTGACCACAAGAGGTTTTTCTTGTAGTGATTTGCAGTGTCTTTTTTTTTTTCCACAGGCAGAGTGGATAGTGAGAGAGAAACAGAGAGAAAGGTCTTCCTTTGCTGTTGGTTCACCCTCCAATGGCCGCCATGGCTGGCACGCTGCGGCTGGTGCACTGCACTGATCCGAAAGCAGGAGCCAGGTGCTGGTCTCCCATGGGGTGCAGGGCCCAAGCACTTGGGCCATCCTCCACTGCCTTCCCGGGCCACAGCAGAGAGCTGGCCTGGAAGAGGGGCAACCGGGAAAGAATCTGGCGCCCCGACTGGGACTAGAACCCAGTGTGCCAGTGCCGCTAGGTGGAGGATTAGCCTATTGAGCCGCGGCACCAGCCTGCAGTGTCTTGGTAGGCATCTGAACTGGTGCTTTTCTTCTCCTTTGCTCCTCTGATCAAGTCAGCACACACCTTCTCCAGGGACTTGACGTTGCGGCTGGTCAGGGTGATCCTAATTTGGTGAATGGCCACCTCTGGTTCCATGGGCGTCTTCCATGCACGCTGTTTTTCACCATCAGCAGGGTGCTGGATCAGAAGTGGAGCAGTTGGATCTCAAACCAGCACTCATATCGGATGCTGTGCTTCAGGCCAGGGTGTTAACCCACTGTGCCATAGCGCTGGCCCCGAACACTCCTACCGATTTTGTCCTCCTGGACCTATCAGATGTTAGCAGAGTGGTAGTTCATGAGCCTGCTGTGTGTTCTTCCTCTGTTCTCACTCTGTCTGCTTCTTCCCTTCTTCTTTTAATTTATGGGTGGTGGGCTGGAGAAATTATCTTTATTTCACCCATGATCAAATATTTCACCCACGATGATTATATTTCATAGGTATTAGGGTTGTTTTAAACCAGTCACTTTTGGCTAGGGAAGAGGTAGACTAATACCCAGTTTCCAGAATAATGAGGCTGAAGGAATCACAGAGGGTTATAAAGACTTCCACGGAGAATGGCAAAATGGAACTTCTCAGCCACATACTTGGCAACACAGCCAAAGGTGCAAACTATTGTGTGGGGAAAAAAGAGAAACACAGAAAGCCCAAATCTCCATCTGGGAACAGGAGTGGGGAACATCTGACCCATGGGCCACATAAAGCAAGCAGAATCATTTGGTCTGGCCCTGCCAAGGCAGCTGTAGGCAGAACTTGAAATTCACAAATCTGTAGCAGCCTGAGTTTAAGTTGATCATATTGTATGGCCCACAAATGATGCTATCAATATCCAAATAGGCCTTGGCAGAAAAACGTTTCCCACTCCTGATACAGAAACAAGAGTCACAATCTTTTACTTTGCAACTATCTCCAAGTAGATCCATTTCCACATCTGATATTACATCATCTCTGTGGGCATCTTTTGCTTTCTACGTATTCAAACACTGGCTTCACCTTCTCCTCCAGCTCCTTGTTTCAACTAGACTTCCACACCCTTTGAAGCTTCTGCAAGTTGCAGCACTTCGAATCAATGCATTACCACTTCATTTTAAATGTACTTGTGAATGGAACTCTGGTTTGTCTGCATAGTTCCCTGCCCAGTTCTACTTCAAGAGCCTAAAAATTGGGGATGAGACAGGATCACTGAACTTCTGTTGAATAATTTCTTACATTCCTACCTTGTACCGAGCATACAAATAAATACTTAATAGATATGAAACAAAATAACTCATAGATTTTGAAAGCTAGTAGCTGAGTTTTATAAACTGGTTTGCTGATTGCATTAAACATTATATTTCCCTTTTCATGTATGATGCTAGGATGCATTGCTAAATATAAGTGGGGAAAAAGGCTGGCTTGGTAGGCATTTTCTTAACAAGAAATAGACGTCTATTACCTGGCTCCATATAATAAAATGAGATGACTGACTATACAATGATTCTCTGGCTTAAGCACATCTCGAACTAAGTTCTGAAGAACTCAGATTAAATGACAGTCAGGTTATTCATTAGTCCTAAATCATTTTTATAGAACATTTTTGAAAAACACCAAGAAAGTATGGAATACGAGACTCTCTATGTTTTAGGAGAAATCATTCCCTATTTCTTTTAAAAAAAAATATATATATATGTACACACACACACACACACACACACATATATACACACATTGGATAGGCAGAATTAGACAGTGAGAGAGAGACAGAGAAAGGTCTTCCTTTTTCCCTTGGTTCACCCCACAAGTGGCTGCTATGGCTAGCGTGTTGTGGGCGGCACACTGTGCCAATCTGAAGGCAGGAGCCAGGTGCTTCTCCTGGTCTCCCATGCGGGTGCAGGGCCCAAGGATCTGGGCCATCCTCTGCTGCACTCCTGGGCCACAGCAGAGAGCTGGACTGGAAGAGGGGCAACTGAGACAAAATCTGGCACCCCAACAGAACCTGGGGTGCCAGCGCCACAGGCGGAGGATTAGCCTAGTGAGCCATGGCACCGGCCAACTATTTCTAAACCATAATCTTTACTGCCTATATCTTCCTATTCATTATTTCCTGATACCGTCAACATTCATTTGACTAAATATTAAAACATACTTTGAGAGTTTCAGCAAAAAAAGAACTTTGCTGACATAATATTTTTTTTTAACTTTTATTTAATGAATATAAATTTCCAAAGTACAGTTTATGGATTACAATGGCTTCCCCCCCCATAATGCCCCTCCCACCTGCTACCCTCCCCTTTCCCACTCCCTCTCCCCTTCCATTCACATCAAGATTCATTTTCAATTCTCTTTATATACAGAAGATCAGTTTAGCATACATTAAGTAAAGATTTCAACAGTTTGCTCCCATACAGAAACATAAAGTGAAAAATACTGTTTGAGTACTAGTTATAGCATTAAATCTCAATGTACAGCACACTAAGGACAAAGATCCTACATGAGGAGTAAGTGCACAGTGACTCCTGTTGTTGACTTAACCAATTGACACTCTTGTTTATGGCCTCAGTAATCACCCTAGGCTCTTGTCATGAGCTGCCAAGGCTATGGAAGCCCTCTGAGTTCACTGACTCTGATCATTTTTAGACAAGGCCATGGTCAAAGTGGAAGTTCTCTCCTCCCTTCAGAGAAAAGGTACCTCCTTCTTTGATGACCCATTCTTTCCACTGGGATCTCACTCATGGAGATCTTTCATTTAGGTTTTTTTTCCCCCCCAGAGTGTCTTGGCTTTCCATGCCTGAAATACTCTCATGGGCATTTCAGCTGGATCCGCATGCCTTAAGGGCCTATTCTGAGGCCAGAGTGCTGTTTAGGACATCTGCCATTCTATGGGTCTGCTGTGTATCTCACTTCCCATGTTGGATCGTTCTCTCCCTTTTTGATTCTATCAGCTAGTATTTGCAGACACTATTCTTGTTTATGTGATCCCTTTGGTTCTTAGTCCTATCATTATGATCAATTGTGAACAGAAATTGATCACTGGGATTAGTGAGATGGCATTGGTACATGCCACCTTGATGGGATTGAATTGGAATCCCATGGTATGTTTCTAATCTACCGTTTGAGGTAAGTCAGCTTGAGCATGTCCCAAATTGCACATCTCTTCCCTCTCATTCCTGCTCTTATATTTAACAGCGATCACTTTTCAGTTAAGTTTCAGCACTTAAGAAGAATTGTGTATTGATTACAGTATTCAACCAAAAGTATTAAGTAGAACAAACAAACAAAAAATACTAAGAGGGATAACATTAAATTGCTCATCAACAGTCAGGGTGAGGGCTGATCAAGTCACCCTTTCTCATAGTGTTCATTTCACTTTAACAGGTTTCCTTTTTGGTGCTCAGTTAGTTGTCACCTATCAGGGAGAACAAGTGGTATTTGTCCCTTTGGTATTGGCTTATTTCACTCAGCATAATGTTTTCCAAATTCCTAACAGGGATCACTTTTCAGTTAAAATTTAAACACCTAAGAATAATTGTGTGTTAATTACAGAGTTCAACCAATGGTACTAGAACAAAAAAAAATACTAAAATGGATAAAGTATTACATTGTACATCAACCGTCAGGACAAGAGCTGATCAAGTCACTGTTTCTCATAGTGTCCATTTCACTTCAACAAGTTTAACATAATATATTTTTAAAATGTGGTATGTTGTTGAGGTGCAACAGCTGCATATGGGACTTCTGTTTATTGTAGGGCTTCTGCAAATATTACTCTCATAGATACATGCAATGACAGGAGAGAAGACATTCAAATAAAATGAGCTACAGTGTGCAGAATGGAAATTATTAAAGGCACATTCACTTGTGCAGGACATACAAGTGAAGCTTTAGAAAGCAGCACATTCACATCTAAGAGACTAGAAAAACAACAACTTGCCTAAGAACAAAACTAAAAGCCATAAGCAGATTCAAAATTATTAGTGATTAAGAGTAAGAAGAGCGAACAAAACATCAATAGCAAATGACAGGAGAGGAGGGTGAGAGCATTTGTTACTCACAGGAATTCTTCTCCAGGGAGTCTGGGTGTATTTGTCAGTGTAAGTGCATTTTTCCTCTTTAGATTTTTGGTGGCAGTTACACCAAGTTGCCTGAACAAAAACACACATTTTTACATTGGTTTCATTCTGCATACACACACAAAGTCATTAGGGGCTCTCTTAGGGGGTAAAAAAAAAAAAAACAAACCAAGAAAAAAGTTACACATTACAAAATGGTTCTAAACTTTTATAGCAAATATCAGTCTTTACTCAGTAGTCTCTCATCTTATTCAGGGACTGGGTTTGAGTCAACCAGTGAGAGCAGAATTTCAAACAGTCCAACTACCCTCGGCAATCTCTTAAATTGTTCAAAAGCATATTACATAAAATTCACACAGTGTGTACTTATGTGCTAAAAATATATACAGTATTATGTGTATATATATATAGTGATACACAGTATATAAAGAATACAAATGCAAATTTTATAGTTTTCTAAATGATTATGTTGCTATGTAGTCATTATTGTACACTCTCCTTGAATGCATTTTTGATGGTAATCTACTTGCTACTAAATACCACCAATCCATAAGTCAGACTACCTATTCATATGTGCAATGTTGCCAAGTCTCTTTAATGATGTGTTCTCTTGGCCAGCGCTGCGGCTCAATAGGTTAATCCTCAGCCTGTGGTGCTGGCACACTGGGTTCTAGTCTCAGTGGGGGTGCTGGTTCTGTCCCAGTTGCTTCTCTTCCTGTCCAGCTCTCTGCTGTAGCCTGGGAAGGCCCTGCACCCGCATGGGAGACCAGGATAAGCACCTGGCTCCTCGCTTCGGATCAGCGCAGCACACCAGCTGCAGCGGCCATTGAGGGATGAACCAATGGAAAAGGAAGACCTTTCTCTCTGTCTCTATCTCACTGTCCAGTCTGCCTGTCAAAAAAAAATGATGTGTTCTCTTTACTGGACAATAATTTTTTGAAGCGTCTCTACCCTTTGACAAGACCACAAGACCATCTGTCCCTCTCAATTCTCAAATGAATTCTCTACATGTGATGCCTCTCAAAGTATACTCAGTTATACAACACACAGTGTACATACTGTGTAAACTTTGGTGCTTTCAAATCATCAAATACAATGAAAAGATGGAAAATGAGAATTCACTGTTATGTAAAGCTGAAATGTAACCAAATTATTTGTTAAGCAACCCCATTGAAGGTAAATACACTTTCTCATAGAAAAACCTAAGAAATCCTTGATTACTACATCAAGTTGAAATTACACATTCCTATTTTAAAAATATTTACCAATATTAAAAATTTTCATAATTGTACTTATATTATTCCAATCTCCTATGGAAAATAAAATCCAATTATAAACAAAAATCTCTACATTACACAGTTTCCATCTTTAAGCTGAAACCAAACTCACTACTACAAATGCAAGTCAACTAAGTCTCTTGGAATTCATTGTATTAGGACTTAATTTGTAACATATAGGGGAGGTATGTAAAGAGGAGAAGAAGTATAAAACACGGATCAGAATGCAGGTTCACGACTTATTGCATCCTGATTATGACAATTCCAGAGATAATATCCTTTTTGCTAACATGTGGAGAGTAATATTTGAGTTATACTAGACATTTGAATCTTCCATAATTGGAAAAGCCTAGTTTTTAGTAACATTTCAATAGATGTAAACCAACTGCCCAAATCACTCCCTCTCCACCTGCTTTCTGTAATAGCTGACAGATTGTATTCACATGGTATTCTTTGAGGAAGTACGTCTTTCCTCTTGTTCCAAGGAAATAGATCTTGATTACTCTGAACCAATGTATGCTTAGGAAGGGATAAGGAACTCAAATGTAGCTAATAAAACAGGAGGAAAGTCTGAGGTATTTCTGAGAAATAGCATGTCCATTTTAAACACAAGTATTAAATGGATCTACTAGGGAAAATGGGTTCTGCACCCACCTTTGGGTATTACCCTGTGAGAATGTGACACCTACAGCTAAAAAGACTTTCTACAAAGGAAGAGAAAGCCACAAGGATTCTAGAAAAGCCAACCTAGAACTTCAACCATTAACCAAATGACCAATAAGTAACCATGGAAGTGGATGAGACCTATACACTTTGTTATTTTAGTTTACAAATGTTCTTGTATTTTAAGTCACTTTTAGTTAGGGATTTAAAACATTCTAAGACATGCATTGATTTATGCTGGGTCATTTGGAGCAAGCCATTAAGTAAGAGTTACTAATTATCCCACACCCCTGGGCCAGGCATTAGGCCATGGTTCATTTAACTCCCACAACCCTCTAGCATCAGTATTTTTATTATTTCCATTTACAGAAAAGGCTCAAGAGAGATTATATACCTTCCTTAAGAGAACACAGCTATGTTTCAAAAGCAAGATTCGAACCAAAGTCTAGCATGGGTTTTCAAAGATACTTCTAGCCTATTTAACCTGAGTTTCACTTTCTATGACTCCATAATTAAAATTATACACTAGTAATTTCACAAAATTATGCTGGTTTCAATGTACAAATACATCTAAATTATTATTTAATTAGTGTTCTGAGGAGAAAATAAGAATCCTTAGCATTTTGGAATAAGATTTGAATAGTCAAACCTCTCTACCTTTCAGTTAAATTCTCAGAGCATTGTAATATAATTTTATATCAGCTTGCATCACATAAACATGAATTCAACACTTTATACTTTTTATTTTTCCAAAAGTTTGCATGCAAACATAGGTTACAGTTGAATGTATACCTTTCCCACCAAGACTACTCAATGGGCCATCAAAGAAGGAGGTACCTTTCTCTGAAGGGAGGAAAGAACTTCCACATTGATTATGGCCTTGTCTAAATAAGGTCGGAGTTTGTGAACTCAAGAGGCTTCCATAGCTTTGGCAGCTCATGACAAGAGCTTCCGGTGATTACAGACATTGTAAATAAGAGTGTCAGCTGTTAAATCAACAATGGGAGTCACTGTACATTTGGTCCCCATGTAGGATCTCTGTCCTTAATGTGTTGTACTAAACAAATTAATGGTAAAATTACTAGTCAAACAGTACTTTATACTTTGTGTATCTGTGTGGGTGCAAACTGTTGAAATGTTTACTTAGTATGTACCAAGTTGATCTTGATGAAGAATGGGGTGGGAGAGGGAGAGGGAGTGGGAGATAGGATGGTTGTGGGAGGGAGGGAGGTTATGGGGGGAAAAATTCAAAGGTTGTACTTTTGAAATTTATATTTATTAAATAAAAGTTTAAAAAAAGAATGTATACCTTATAAATGACAAGAAAGCATAGAAGTATAGAACTGGAAGGAGAAAACTTTGAAATCATCAAGAAAACCTTTGCATTCTGGATAAAGCACTAAAGAGGGAACAGAATTTGCCAAAGTCATTAAAAAAATTATTAGAGATAAGAAATGTCATCTGACTCCTGTTAATGGCTTTTCTTGTGCCTTTTCCCCCATTTACAAAAAGTAACCTAAAGATGTAAAGAAAGAAATCTTAAATAGAAGGGCAATTTTATTTTTGATCATGTGAAAATGCTATTACATTTCGGCCGACGCTGTGGCTCACTAGGCTAATCCTCCACCTTGCAGCGCCGGCACACCGGGTTCTAGTCCCAGTCGGGGCGCCGGATTCTGTCCCAGTTGCCCCTCTTCTATGCCAGCTCCCTGCTGTGGCCAGGGAGTGCAGTGGAGGATGGCCCAAGTGCTTGGGCCCTGCACCCCATGGGAGACCAGGATAAGTACCTGGCTCCTGCCATCAGATCAGCGCAGTGCACCGGCTGCAGTGCTGGCTGCGGCAGCCATTGGAGGGTGAACCAACGGCGAAGGTAGACCTTTCTCTCTGTCTCTCTGTCTCTCACTGTCCACTCTGCCTGTCAAAAAATAAAAAAAAAATGCTATTACAAATCTCTACTTTCAATGGTTTATAACTTTTAAATTCTTCTGATTTGAACAAGTGATTTTCTAGAGTTTCAGAGGTAAACATTATACCTTTATAATCTTCCTGAATGACTTCCAATGCCCTACTGCAAAAAGGACATGTTTCTCCTTCAAACTCATTTAATAAGATGTCTGCTTCAGCGCGTCACTGCTGTTAATGACTAGCAGTAAATCCTCTCCAGCCCTGTAAATCTATGGAGACAAACTGTACCAACATTAGTCTCTAGAATCAAGAACAGGAACTGCCAAGTTTCACAAAGTTTGCTGTGCATGTGAGGCCACAATTCCCCTTCAGTTTATTTAAATGAGCTCATTTTTCTGTTTTCTCTAATTTTTCATGTATCCTCCAAGACAGAGTCTTTCAACCTACTAGTAGTTACTCTAAAGCATGCCACAGGGTCCAGTGTTGTGGTGTAGGGGGTAAAGCTTCCGCCTGCAATGCTGGCATCCCATGTAGATACCAGTTCTTGTCCTGACTGCTCTACTTCCTATCCAGCTCCCTGGGATATGCCTGGGAATATGCCTGGAAAGATGGTCCAAGTGCTTGGGCCCATGCACCCACATGGGAGAACTAGATGAAGTTCCTGGCAACTGGCTTGGCTTCAGCATAGAGCAGCACTGGCTGTTGCAGCCATTTAGGGAGTGAATAAGTGGATGGAAGATTCTCTTTCTCTCTCTTTCTCTCTTTCCCTGCTCCCTTTTCTGTAACTCTGCCATTCAAATAAATTAATAAATCTTTAAAAGAAAAAACTATGTCACAAGGTTTATTACAATTAATCTAACTATAATTTTAAAAAGAATGTCTAAGGGTTCCTTTGTAGATGATAAAACATTCAATACTTCTGACTTCCTTCAGTTTACTCCTTTTCTGCTACCTTAAACTTTTACAATTTAGTCTAAATATATTCTCAAAAATAGCAACTCAAATTTTTTAAGTAAAAATTATTTTAATTTCATAACTTAAAAGATTTCTAAATTCCAATATTCAAATGATATATAATTGCATCAGATAAAATAATGAGCAGTAAATTTTCTCCAATCAATGGTTCAGAGGTTTAGCCCACTTAGTTTCTCTAAAGATGATTTCATTACACCACTTATTCATTTAAATCTTTGCTACCTATTCTTGTGTTATTTTCCAATTTCTTTCTCAAGTATTTGCAATGCATTAAGTAATTTTTAGACAGATAACTATGTGGCATACTTTTTAAGATGTTAAAGGACTGAAAATGTACTTTTGTATATAGATAGAACTATCCGGAAATTAATTACGAGGATTATGACCTGTTTTTGAAGTGTACTAGACCTAACAATTTCTTGTGCTCTGTAATACATTTTTTGCAAAAGTTTGTGGGGAGCAACTCGGACTAGACTAAGTTACTGTAATTAAGACTTATTCTATGCATCTGCTCTCCCACAATATGGTGCTGGGAGAGGAGAAAACAGCTTCTACGCAGCTGCCTCTTGCCAACTTGAGTGATGACCTCCAGGAGCTGATCCTGCTCCTGATTGGAGGAGAGCAGCGTACTCAGCGTGTGGGCAGCCGACTTGGGATTGGCGGAAGAGGACTATAAAGGAGGAGAGAGACAACATGCACCAGGAACATCTAAGGGGAACACCTGTGCAGCCCCTGAGAGGGCCGGCCGGTGGTGTGCCGCTCCCCTGCGGAAGTGGGGAAAGTGGCTGGGGGAACCGCCCTTCCACGGAGGTGGAAGGGACGGCAGCCAACCCGGGAAGAACCAGCAGCAAACTCGGGGAGGGCCGAGCAGACAAAAGAACAACGCAGGGTCCTGTGTCATTCCTCCACGAAGAGGGGGAGCGACAAAGTTGAAGCTAACTTAATTTCCTAATTTACATATTTACTTTCTCCCTAAAAACTGGATTATTTCTTAGTTTATAGCTTTTTGTTTTGTTTTTGAGATGCAGAGAGACATAGAAAAATGGACACATAGAGGAAGCTTCCATCTACTGGTTCACTTCCCAAATGTGTGCAATGGCTGGGGATGGGCTGGACCCACATCCGGGAGCTGGGAACACAATGAGGGTCTTCCACACAGGAGGCAGGAACCTAACTGAGCCATCTCTGCTGCCTCCCAGGGTAAATACCGACAGGAAACTAAGTCCAGAACTGAATCATGGTGTTCTAGTGTAAGATGCAGGAGTCTTAACTGCTAGGCTAAACACCTGCTCCCTTGTCTTTACCACTGAGACATAAACATTAGGTCTTATTATTCCCCTTTTTAATTCTGTATCAGTAGGACTTCAATCTGAAATATTAGATGTTCTTCACTTGGACTCACACATTTTCTTTGTATTCTTAATCATAATAGCTGAAATAACTACATGGCCTCAGCAGCTCAGAGGGGAGTATCATATATACTTTATGTTCTAAGTGAGATTAACCCCTCATATGGCTGAATTGTTTCATTGTTCCAAGATATTTTTTGATGACTAATAAAGATCTTCTTGATGGTTATGATTTTTCTGATTTACGTTCTTTTTATCCTAGCTTTTTAAATTATTGCAAGCTAAACTAAATTAAATTCAAGACAGTATATACTGTTTTTACATGGGATTAACATTGAATATTGTACAAAGATTCAGACAATCTCTAAGGGATCATTCAACATCACCCACAGGGAATAAATATTTGATAGCTATCCCGATGCCTAAGCCTGAATACTCAGTCTCATTTTGCTCACAGAGAAAGGAAATGTCCTGTTCTCAACTTCCCAGGATTTGTTTCTTTAACCTTATCTCTAAAGCAAAGTCGTCTACCCTGTATTAGTAAATGAACATATTTGGTAAATTTATAAATCCCCAAAACAGATGCCACTGAAAATGGAACAACAAAGAATTTTTAACACTGAACACTTAATATTTAGAATGAAGGTTACAGCACATACTTTTGTTAGAATGCATATAATCTACAAATAATGCAATAGTGAAAGTATGAGAGCCAAAAATAAAGTCAAACTTGAATTCTGGATCACAGTCTTATGAAAAGGATGTATTTCCCAGTTTGAAAAGTCTCCATTTTATATATTACACTATCATACTTACAAGCTGATGTTCTAATAGTTGGATTTTTTCATCTTTTTTCTTTCTTTCTTCTTTAAGTTGTTTAATTTCATTTAATTAATCTTCATTCTGAAATATTAAAAAAATTTAAGATAAGGCATTTAAAATACCTTATTAAAGAGCACTACATAAATGACAAAGACTAGAAAATGATCTATTTGTTCATTTAAGGGGAAAAATCTTTTATTAAAAAGAATGTCATAGGAGGCCGGTGTTGTGGTATAGTGTTTTAAGCCACTCCCTGCAATGCCAGCATCCCACATGGGTGCTGGTTCAAGTTCCGCTGCTTCACTTCCAATCCAGCTCCCCGATGATGTGCCCAGGAAAACAGCAGAGGAAGGACCAAGTGCTTGGGCCCTTGCACCATACAGAAGACCTGGATGGAGTTCCAGGCTTCTGAGTTCAGTCTGGCCCAGTTCCAGCCATTGCAGCCATCTGGAGAGTGAGCCATCTGATGAAGTTCTCTATCTCTGTCTCTCCCTCTCTCTCTCTCTGTAACTCTGCCTTTCAAATAAATAAATCTAAAGAAAGAATAAAACAAAATCATCATTTAATGGTCTAATGGAGTCTGACATGTAAACGATGAACAGCAACAGAAGTAAAGGCTAACATTCACTCAGTAATTATTGGGTGTTAGAAACTATGCACTTGAAAGTATTTAGGCACTTGATCTTAACTGTGTCACTTGAGGTATACACCATTATCTCCTTTTACACATGAGGAAACTGGGATCCTGGTCATAGAATCAATCTGTCACATACAGAACTGTAACTTTAGCTAACATTTCAAAGGATGCCTCTCAGAGAAAATGAAGGGCACAACAGACAGAGAAAATAGTATAATTAAAGACACAGTGGAATTTCATGGCTGGTTCAGCAATCAGCAAAGAGATAAATATGCCTGAAGAGTAATAAATGAGATGAGTTGACCATGAACCACTTTCCTGAACAGCGCTGCCTGAGTCAAAGAGAAAAAAATAGTCTGTCAAGTTCATCAACGAGAAATGCCCAATACTGTGAAATGGAAACCTATGTCAAGCTAAACAGGAATCTGGTCACCTTTACAAGTGTGAAGTATCATTACCCTACAGGCAGCCCATTTGGAGTACTTCTCTTCACTTATCCAGAACTTCTCTTCACTTATTCAGAATAGGAAGTAGTTTAAGCAAGGGATTAGATTTTTTATATATAGATGATACACCACATCTTTCCAGGCAGAGAAACATGCAAGCAAATAATGGCAATGGTGTAGTTACTAAGCAAAGTTATGTCATCTTCTCCAGACACACTGGGAGTAACCTAAAAAAATGCAGTCTCTAAACAAAAGTTCATAAACAGACATCCTACAAAAGTGTTAACATGTCAGAAAATATTTTAAAATGTTATGGACAGTATAATTGGGAAAGACAGTTTTTATATCACTAAAAAAAAGACAGGAGCTAGTAAATTTGTGGTGCTACTGAACTGAGACTGTGAAAAAAGAGACGGTGGGGGAGAGAACTCACGGAATTCACGTGAGTACTCTCCAGAGACGCTACAGTTCCGTAACTTTGGCAACCCAGTGGGAGGCTGAAGGAGAATTTGAGCCCACTCTGAGGGCCGAACAGATTCCCTGTGGGGATCTTGGGAAAGAGCTTCCGATCTCTGGCTCCTGTGGGTATATCATTTGCCTGCTAACTACCTCCAACTTCATTCAGCTGTGCGGAATTACTTCCCTTTTGAATCAAAAAAAAAAAAAAGAGAGAGAGAGAGATTTACCACCCCTAACCTGGGAGTGTCACCTTTGGCACACCAAACAGAGCTCTCAGGCCACACCCATCTCAAGCCCTAAGGCTCCATCAAAAACAGATAGTCCACTTAATCTACAGTCATAGTATAACAAGAAAAAGCACCACAGTGAAGAAACCAAATATCTCCAATATGACAAATAACAAACGCAAAAACCGAGGTAATAAAAACAAGGAAGTCACCATGACGCCCTCAAATGAAAAAGACACCCCAATTCAAGATTATGAAGATGATGACATAGAAGAAATGCAAGAAGCAGATCTCAAAAAATTGATAAGAACATTAAGAAGTTCTCAAAAACAAATTCTGGAACTACACAAATCCTTAATGGACAAGATAGAAAATCTCTCTCGTGAAAATGAAATATTAAGGAGGAATCAAAATGAAACGAAACAACTAGTACAACAGGAAACTGTGATAGTGACTGAAGTGAAGAATTCAATAGATCAAATGAAAAACACAATAGAGAGCCTTACAAACAGAATGGGTGAAGCAGAAGAGAGAATATCGGACTTAGAAGACAGAGAACAGGAAAGGATACAGTCAGACCAAAGAAAAGAAGAGGAAATTAGAAATCTGAAACATATTGTCGGGAATCTTCAGGATACTATTAAAAAAACCAACATTCGGGTTCTAGGAGTTCCTGAAGGCATGGAGAGGGAGAAAGGATTAGAAGGCCTTTTTAGTGAGATATTAGCAGAAAATTTCCCAGGTTTGGAGAAGGACAGAGAAATCCTAGTACAGGAAGCCCACAGAACCCCTAATAAACACGACCAAAAGAGATCCTCACCATGACACGTTGTAATTAAACTCTCCACAGTGAAACATAAAGAAAAGATCCTAAAATGTGCAAGAGAGAAACGTCAGATTACTCTCAGAGGATCTCCAATCAGACTCACAGCTGACTTCTCATCAGAAACTCTAAAAGCTAGGAGGGAATGGCGAGATATAGCCCAGGTACTAAGAGAGAACAACTGCCAGCCCAGAATATTATATCCTGCAAAGCTATCATTTGTGAATGAAGGTGAAATAAAGACTTTTCATTGCAAACAGAAATTGAAAGAATTTGTTGCCACTCGTCCAGCCCTGCAAAAGATGCTTAAAGATGTGTTACACACAGAAACACAGAAACACGGTCATCAATATGAAAGAAGGTAAAGGAAGGAAACCAAGGAAGGAAACCTCACAGCAAAAGATCACAGGGAATTCAAAGCATATATTAGAACTTATCTTTGGCAAATGGCAGGGCAAAGTTACCACTTATCATTAGTCACTTTGAACGTGAATGGCCTGAACTGTCCAGTTAAAAGACACCAATTGGCTGATTGGGTTAAGGAACAAAACCCATCTATATGCTGCTTACAAGAAACACATCTTTCCAACAAAGATCCATACAGACTGAAAGTGAAAGGCTGGAAAAAGATATACCATGCCAACAGAAATGAAAAAAGAGCGGGCGTAGCCATCTTAATATCGGACAACATAAACTTTACCACAAAAACTGTTAAGAGAGACAAAGAGGGACACTATATCATGATTAAGGGATCAATTCAACAGGAAGATATAACAATTATCAATGTATATGCACCTAACTACAGGGCACCAGTTTATCTAAAAGATTTATTAACGGACTTAAAGGGAGACTTAGACCCCAATACAGTAGTACTGGGGGACTTCAATACTCCACTCTCAGAAATAGACAGATCATCCGGTCAGAAGATCAACAAGGATACAGTAGATTTAAACGACACTATAGCCCAAATGGATCTAACAGATATATACAGAACTTTCAATCCTACAGCTAAAGATTATACATTCTTCTCAGCAGTACATGGAAGCTTCTCTAGGATTGACCACATACTAGGCCATAAAGCAAGTCTGAGCAAATTCAAAAGAATTAGAATCATACCATGCAGCTTCTCAGACCATAAAGGAATGAAGTTGGAAATTAGTAACTCAGGAATCCCTAGAGCATACGCAAACACATGGAGATTGAACAACATGCTCCTGAATGAACAATGGGTCATAGAAGAAATCAAGAGAGAAATCAAAAACTTTCTGGAAGTTAATGAGGATAACAGCACAACATACCAAAACTTATGGGACACAGCAAAAGCAGTGTTAAGAGGAAAGTTTATATCAATAGGTGCCTACATCAAGAAATTGGAAAGACACCAAATAGATGAGCTTTCAATTCACCTCAAGGATCTAGAAAACCTACAGCAAATCAGACCCAAATCTAGCAGGAGAAGAGAAATCATTAAAATCAGAGAAGAAATCAACAGGATTGAATCAAGAAAAACATTACAAAAAATCAGCCAAACGAAGAGCTGGTTTTTTGAAAAAATAAACAAAATTGACACCCCATTGGCCCAACTAACTAAAAAAAGAAGAGAAAAGACCCAAATCAATAAAATCAGAGATGAAAAAGGAAATGTAACAACAGACACCACAGAAATAAAAAGAATCATCAGAAATTACTACAAGGACTTGTATGCCAGCAAACAGGGAAACCTATCAGAAATGGATAGATTCCTGGACACATGCAACCTGCCTAAATTGAACCAGGAAGACATCGAAAACCTAAACAGACCCATAACTGAAAAAAAGACCTGAAAGAGTTTAAGAATTCTAAAAATTCATAAATTAGACAAAAGATGGATTACAGATCACAAAAGACCCATTTTCAAGGATTTATCTAGAATATGTTTAAATTCTGTAGCAAACAAACTTACTAAGAAATCATAAATGTATTTGTTATATAAAATTTTCATCATCTATACAATTAATTTTCTGATTAAAGTTAAAGCCTTGTAAAACCTATGCAAACATGACAAAAGCTTTATATCGCAATTCTACCAGAAGCTAGCTCAAACACCTAAGGTCACTGTCAAGATTCCAACAAATAGTTCTCACAAACACACATGTAATCTGAAAAATGCTCTATTTGACTTGTTTTAGAAAAACAAAATACTGGAAGCACTTATTTTACAGATATTAAATTGGAGGGGGGTTTTCATTGTGATTAAGAAGATTAGAGAAAAAATGTAGCAACTCAATAGACAAAGCAACCAACCTTTCTAGACAAACATATGCCTATATGTATAAAATCACAAAAATATCTGCAATTCTGATTCAGTTATTCCACTTCTAGGAATCTATGCTGAAGAAATGATTCCAAGTGTGAAAAGATCAACAAGATACTACCTGAAAGTTTACAAGTTTACAACTGTCCCATAAGGGAACAAGTGAAACCCAATAGAGCAAACTGATGGAACACTACACAGCCAACATTTCTATAGTTGTGGATTCTACCCATGTTACAGAAATGGACTCAAAAAATGAGATCAAAATACAATGTGGTAAGAATATTAATAGACAAAATTTACGCAGCACTTACTACATGCAGGCACTGCTGTAAGACTATACATAAAGATGGGCAGGGGAGGACATGTCAGGAAATGCGTGACTCCAGTGGGGTCTTAAAGGAATGAGCAGAAGGTTCTGAGGACGCAGCAGGAAGGGATTCTGAATGCTCTACAAAAATACAGAGGGGAAGACAAGCAGAGCACATCTGGGGAAATAGAAGCAGTGATGTGGTCACACAAAGGCTGGTGACGAGTGAGGCACAAGTAGGTTTGTGAACCAGGCAAGGGCCACACAGCACAGAGGGCTATAATGATGGGGCACAGACTTAGCCAGGGAGTGGTAGATTTACATTTCAGACAGCACTGACAGCATTTGGAGAACAAATTTGACAACAAAAGCAACAAAACTGGGCTAGGAACGTGTCATCAAAATACTCTATTATTCCAGATGACAGAAGGAATCTAACTGAAAAGAGTGATAACAGAGATGGAAGTGGGGAAATCAAAGTGTGGAGATTTTGACAATTCACGGCATGAGAGAGAAAGGCACAGAGGAGCAGTCAAGACACTCCTATTTACTACTTTAGGGACACAGTGAAAAACTGTGCCACCAAAAGAAATGGCGAGTACAGGAGGACACAGATGTTCAAAGAGGAATATGTGTGAGTTTTAAATACATTGTTGGAGGTAGCTGCAGGTAGTGTAGGAATATGTCTAGTGGGCAGATGGATCACCAAGTAAGAAAGAAAGAAAATTTATATGTTATCAGGTATATATGTCACATGTGAAATCATGACAGTAAAAATTACAGAGGAATGAAATAAAGTTATAAACTTAATATTCAAAGGCAGGAGAAATCTACATAAGAAACACAGGGAAAACATGAGCCTAATAAAGTTAATCTAATTTTTAGTATTTTCTAGTATCTTTCAACATTGTGATAAATGAGATACGCAGTGAAACTTAATTGCCACTTTAATTTTTCTTGGAAGCTGTATGTAAAAATTGTAAAAAGTGATGATTTTTGGAAAAGGATTCTGAATCAATACTAATTATCCAACGGACAAATTCAAATTAAACAACACAGGGATTTTAACTTAACAAAGTAGCAAAAGTTAAGGGCAAGTCTCAAGAAAGCAAATTTCAGGGCTGGTGCTGTAGTACATCAGGTTAACAGCACTGCCTGTAGTACTGGCATCCCCCTATGGGTGCAGGTTCAAGTCCTGGCTGCTGTACTTCTGATCGAGCTCCCTAATACACCTGGGAAGGCAGTAAAAACAGTGCAAGTACTTGGGCCATTCCCACTCACATGGGAGACCTGGATGAAGCTCCTAGTCCAGTCCTGGCTGAAGAGGCCATTTGGGGAGTGAACCAGGAGATGGAAGTCTTGCTCTCCCCCTCTCTAACTCTGCCTTTTAAATAAATAAATACATCTTTTAAAAAATGCAAATCCCTAAGTTTTTATATGTACACTTGAAATACTCCAGAAAGTAAATCTCTAAATTTTCAGCATCCTTATTATTAAACACTTTCATTGTTATAGCTTTATTATTTTAATATTCAAAACATTTGAAATATTTATCCTGATTACCTTACATATTTGATTACCATCTTCTGGTTCTGGACTGGATGGCAATTATAGTTGAATGTCATGTAATGAACCACTTCCATCATGCTGTCAGAAAGAAGGGAGAAAAACACCCCATTAGTACCCTAACTACAGACACTCGGTTCAACCTGAATTTTCCCAAACTACATGTTAGCATGGCAAAGAACAAATAGGATATAAGAAGTTATTACTCTCCTTTTCATCTCTGTGCTGGCAGAAGGAAATGTGGAAGAAGGAAAAGGAAGTTGGGAGAAGATGAACCTGTGAGAATAAGTAACAGACACAGTGTAAATGAATGAGGGAGACACTCACTGAATGACTGGGAAAAGGAATATGGAAAATTTCAAAGAATTTTAAGACTTTCACAGCTAAGAAAAATATAAATTAAAAAACTGAATCTGCTTTGGTTTAGGTGTTTTGAGTGTAACAGAGTCTGAAACAGTCATATTAAATAATACACCAGGCTGGGCCACAAAATCCCTTGACTAAAATACTAGATACGTGAGAACACCCTTTTCAGGATCTGTTTATGTCAAGTCTGAGAACAGACATGGTGCTAGAAATCAGAAGAGCGGCTGATGCAGGGAGAGGGGGAACATGAGGGAACTTACCAGGAAGCTGGAAATGTTCCGTCTGCACTGACTGGTGAGCACGTAAACCACATGCATGGACATTTCAGGGTCTACAGTTAAGACTGGTATATCTGGGGCATGCGCTCAGCCTAGCAGCTATGCTATTAGTTAAAATGCCTGCATCCCATATTTGAGTACCTGAGTTTGATAACCAAACTTCTGGGGCAGGCAACAGTAATGTCTCAACTGATTAGTTTCTGCCACCCCCATGAGAGACAGGGACTGAATTACCAACTCTGAGCTTTGGCCCCAGCTTAGGCCATTGTGGACAGTTGGGGAACAACACAGACAAAAACTCTCTCACTTTCTCTCTCTCCCCCTCTCTTTTCCTCTCTGCCTCTCAAATGAATGCAAAAGACTGGTACACCTGGCACTGGACAGCAGGAACTCCACAGAATCACAGACAATGCAAACATGCACTGCTTTGCATTAGTTTTAGGAAGTATATAACAGAACAGGAAAAATGAAAAATCAGTCTTAGAGGTGGAAGAAAAGAAAAAAGGGGCCCAACACAACAGAAGATAACAGGAAAACGGTCAACCACCAGGACTCAGGAAAGTGATTCCATGAACCTGTATGGCGATTCCAGGGGCCACACCTGAGCAGCACTTACTTGCTGCTAAATAGCACTGCAAAGACTGAAAAATAAATGATGACCAATGACCAGGTCGGAAACCAGCCTCTGGCAGGAACACACTCGAAACAGATCTGAACAGCACGGCACAGCAAGGCTTTGGAAGCAGAAGTGCCACTGAAACCACAATCCAAAGGCAGCTGGTTAAACCTAGCGGTCTGAAACTCAGTATTCTCCACAGGTTTTAAACAAGATCTAGAATCTCATAACACTGTTCAAGTGTTTAAGACACGATTCAAACTTACTCAACACCTAGGGAGAAACCTCAATTCACGCACAGCAGACACCAATGGAAAAATGACACAGAAGTTAGTTCATAGGAAAAGATTTTAAGAGAATGCACCAAAAAAATCTCCAAAAAGTAAGGGCAAACACCTGAGGTGGAGGGGAGAGTCTTATCAAGGAAAAGCACATTTAAAGAAAAATGAAGGCTGGCATCACAGCTCAATAGGCTAATCCTCCACCTTGCGGCGCCGGCACACTGGGTTCTAGTCCCGGTCGGGGCACTGGATTCTGTCCCGGTTGCCCCTCTTCCAGGCCAGCTCTCTGCTGTGGCCCGGGAGTGCAGTGGAGGATGGCCCAAGTGCTTGGGCCCTGCACCCCATGGGAGACCAGGAGAAGCACCTGGCTCCTGCCTTCAGATCAGCGCAGCGTGCCAGCCACGGCACCCATTGGAGGATGAACCAATGGCAAAGGAAGACCTTTCTCTCTGTCTCTCTCTCTCACTGTCCACTCCGCCTGTAAAAAAAAAAAAAAAAAAAAAAAAAAGGCAGAATGAAATGGAAATTTTAGAACTGGAAAGATTCAATAACCACAATTTTTAAAAACATGAGATCAATCTAAATACCAATATTTGAGATAATAGGTTTAACTTGGCCACAGATCAACAGAAACCAATCAATCTGAATGATAAACAGAAAAAAGATTGATGAAAAGAAAAGAAATTAACATAGTCCATTCAAGGATCTGTGGGACAATTAATAGATTTTACTTTTTTGTCATTAAAGTCACAGAAGGAAGGGTGTAGGGCAGAAAAGATATTTGAATAAATAAAACTGAACTTATCCCAAATTTGGTAAAAGACATGAACCTACAGATTTAAGAAACTCGATTTAAAAGAACAGAAAAAGGGCAGGCTGGGGCTGGCATTTGGCACAGCAATTAAGACACTGCTCAGAACACCTGCATCCCATAGATGAGTACCTGGGTTCAAGTCCCAGCTTGGCTTCTAATTCCAAGTTGCTGCAAATGCCCACTCTGAGAGGCAGCAGGTGTTGGCTCAAGTACTTGGACCCCTGGCACCCACATGGGAGACCTGGACTGAGTTCCTGACTCCTGGCTCTCTGTTCTGGCCTGACCCAGTACCAGCGGTTGCAGTCACTTGGGAAATCAAACAGTAGATGGATGATCTCTGTCTCTGTCTCTGCCTGTCCAATAAAAATATATGTCCATATCCATATCAGAGCAAGTAAGTTTTTGTTCTGGCTCCACCCTCAATTTCAGGTTTTCACTCTTGCACAACCTAAAAGGCAGCAGGTGATTGGTTCAAGTGGTTGGGTCCTGCCCCCAACATGGGAGAACTGAGCATGAACTAGTAGATGGGAGAACTCTGTATGTCTGTCTCTCTTTCTGTCTCTGCTTTTCAAATAAACTTTTTAAAAAAGAAAATAAACGTGCTCTCCAAATATAAGGCAAGTTAACTAAAAATCAGTAACAGAAGGATAATCTCTAACCATTTGAAAAGTAAACAGCTCTAAATTATCCATGGATAAATGTCAAAGTGAGTAAGAAAATATTTTGAACTGCAGGAAAATGAAGACATCATGTTTCTAAATTTGTGGGATGCAACAGTGCTTAGAGGCAAAATTGTGGTACAGATGGCTTCCATTGAAACAAAAGTCAAATCAGTAACTGGTGCAAAGTAAAGCTAGAAAAAACAGAAAGAAAACAATGCAGTGGAAATTAATTAAAAATAGAGAAATCAATGAAACTAATAAATATTCCTGTGAAAAACTGCCAAAAGGCAAAAAAAGATGGAAGGTTTATTTTTCTGAGAATTGCTAGAATTATACCACCAAATTGGATGCAAAAAGATACAGAATGCTTCAACAACTTCCAGTGTAAAAATAGTTTTCAGTAGTTTCAGTGTCAAAAAAAAAAGATGGAAAGTACAAATCAAGACATATACCAGGAATGAAAGCAGGAATATTACTACTGACATTTAAGATGGTAAGAGTAAATAAGGTAGTAATACTGTTAATGGCTCCATGTATACAAATTTGACAACTTATATAAAATGGAGAAATTCCTTAATAACCATAAACTCTCCAAACTCTTCAAAAATGAAGTAGATGACCTAAGCAAACCTATTGACTACTAATGAAAATGAATCCATAATTTAAAACTTCCCATGAAACAAATACCTAAGGCTTTAGATATTTTATCAGCAAGTTCTTCCAACATTTAAAGGATCAACATGTATCAGTTTGATACATTCTCTTAAAGAAAATAAAAATCAACCCAATTAAATTAGAAATTAATTAAATCAAATAAGACTAGCATTATCCTGATCTTAACAAATATAGAAAAGACCACAGCTTAACATCCCTCACAAAGATACAAAAGTCCTTAATAAATGTATCTGAGACTCAATTTCATCAATATATAAAAATGAAACATCCTCAACAAATGAGGTTGATCCTAGAAAAGCAAGGCTCGTTCAGTGGTCAAAAAGCAATATAATTTACCACATCAAGAAATAAAACATAATTATCTCAATAGATGCTGATAAAGTTCCTAACAAAATTCAACATCTAGTCATGATATAAATATGATTGATAATAAACAGATAATGGCTCAAGTACTCGGGTTCCTGCCTCCCATATGAGAGACTCAGCTTGAGTTTACTTAGCTTGAGTTTCACGCTCCTGGCTTCAGTCTGACCCACTCCTACTGTTGTGAGCACTTGAGGAGTAAACTAGGAGATGGAAGATGGGTACCTGTCTCTCTCTCTCTCTCTCCAATAAAGTGAAATTAAACTTAAAATAACAAAGCTAAAAAAAAAACTACTCTAGCATCATATTTAATGGTAAAAGACAATATTCTACCTCTAAGACTAGGAACAAGATACTCCTATTCAGTAGTTACTGGAGTTTCTAGTCACCATAACAGCAAGGCAAGTAAAAATAAAAGACAAATAGGAAAAAACAAAGAAAACTGTTTTCACTCAGATGCTAAAATTTTTGGTGCAGATAATCCCAAAGTATAAAACTACTAGAATCAATACAGATATCCATCAACTGATGACTGGATAAAGAAAATGTGATATGTGTGTGTGTGTGTGTGTGTGTGTGTACACTATGAAATGGTGCTCAGCCATAAAAAAGAATGAGATCCTGCCTTTCACAACAGAATGGATGCAACTAGAAACCATCATGCTTAGTGAACTAAGCCAGTCTGAAAAAGACAAATATCATGTTTTCTCTGATATGTGGTTGTTAATATAGAATATCAAAAATTTATAGGAATGAAACAAACATCTTGTGATATGATTGTTGCTTTTAGCCCTTGTTTATACTATTGTAGAACTCTGGTCTTCCTATTTTTTACTTGTTGAATATTATGGTTAGTGTGAATTAAGCCTATGACTACAGAGTGGATTGAAAGCATGCATCTGCAAAGATTAAAGAAAAAAATAAAGGAAGGAGGGGACTGATGGAGGGAAAAGTGGAGGGAGGGAAGTATGTTTACCTTCTTAGAACTGTACCTATGTAATACATAACATCTATTCTCTTTATATTAACAAAAAGAATTTTAAACTACTAGAATACATGAGGTTAAGAAAGTCAAAGGATATGAGAGCTATATACAAAAATCAACTACTGGGGGTGAGCATTGTGGTGTAGCAGGTAAAGCCTCCACCTGCTATGCTGGTGTCCCACATGGGTGGTGGTTTGAGTCCTGGCTGCTCCACTTCCAATATGGCTCCCTGCTAATGTGCCTGGGAAAGCAGCGGAAGATGGTCTAAGTCCTTGGGCCCCTGTACCCGCATGGGAGACCAGGAAGAAGCTCCCAACTCCTGGCTTCAGACTGGCCTAGCTCCAGCTGTTGTGGCCATTTGGGGAGTGAACTGGTGGAAGCTCTCTACCTTCCCCATTTCCCTCCATCTCTCTGTAAACTCTGCCTTTCAAATAAACAAATGAATTTTAAAAATCAACTTTTTTTTTCTCATTAAACTTTGTTTTAATGGGTCTCAAAATTCTGTGATAGATTTTTGGTCAAGTTGTTTCCATTAAAAAGTACTGATTTTAAAAACTAATAACTTAAAACTGCCATGCACAAAAAAAATGGTCCACAAAACATTCTCCTTTCCTTCTGAAGGTTTTACGATGCATTGTTATCATTAACCAGTCTTTTACTATTAAACTTAAATGGCCAATTGAGACAAACAGTTCTGAGACCGTTCTTCTACCACTGATTAAGACTGGGGTGGCAGGTATTAGGGGTAATATTCATTTAGCCTTCTGAGCTTTCTGGGCAGACTTGGTGACCTTGCCAGCTCCAGCAGCCTTCTTGTCCACTGCTTTGATCACACCCACAGCAACCGTCTGTCTCATATCATGGACAGCGAAACGACCCAGAGGAGGATAGTCAGAGAAGCTCTCAACACACATGGGCTTGCCGGGAACCATATCAACAATGGCAGCATCACCAGATTTCAAGAATTTAGGGCCATCTTCCAACTTCTTTCCAGAACGACGATCAATCTTTTCCTTCAGCTCAGCAAATCAACTATTTTTGTGACAAGGAACTACTGGAAATTAATTTTTAAAAGCTGCCATTTTTAATAATCCAAAGTACAAACAATATATATATGTATATATATTTATACATACACATGCATATATATGAAAGAAATCAGAAGGAATTAAATGGAGAGCTATCCTCTTCTTCACAACTGTGAATCTCAATAACAATGGATTCAAAGGCTCACTATTGTTGGAGACAACTCCTAAATTCCACTACAGATTCCAACAGCATTTTCTTTTTGTAGAAACAAAAAATTACTTCTAAAATTTAATATATTTTTATTTTTAACTGACATGTAGTAATCATACATATTTTGGGGGTACAATGTGACATTGCTATGAGTGCATAAATGTGTATAATATGATCAGAGTAATTGGCATACCTATTACCTCATTTCTTTGTGTAAGTCCCAGCTCAAATAGGGGAAAAACTATTTCTATCAAAGCACAAGAGTTTTAAGGATTGTGAATATAATCATTAACTGAATTGATTAATAAAACCACCCTCCCAAATAACTTTGACATTGAGCACTGACTGTGCTGTCTATTAAACCTGGACTAAGATAAAAGTGTCCAATCACATCAAAATTACTGAACAGTTTGAGAAATGCTTCTTTAAGCATTAGGGTGAAAAAAAATCATGAAATGGGAAAGCAAAGATTCTCTTTTTAAAGATTACTGAAGAAATAACTTCATGCATGCAATTTTTATGCTTCACATGACACGAAGGAGCCAACATTTATCCAGTGCCAGGCACTGTGTAAACATTTTGCATAAATATTTTTAATAAATGCACAGAAGCAAAAATCACATGAAAAATTTCACACCAACTGAAAAGAAGTTATGTTTTCTGATTTTCCAAGTATTCTAGGCATCTTTACTGAGTAAAGCATCTTAGCAATTTCTAGGACTTTTACTCTTTGAATTCTAAATGCAATTAGAATGCTAACACATTCATTAATATTAAAGATGGACAAACCTTCCTCTAGTCTAAGGACAGTAGAGGACTACTGTCAGAAAACCACTTTACACTCTTCTTTTTCAACATAGAATTAAGGCATTCTTTTGTTCTAATGATGTAACTTCCACGCATTAACTTGTCGGAAAACCCTGTAACAAACTCCCTCTTACCCAAGTGGTTCTTCCATTAGTTTGCAAAAACTGAGATCTTCCTATGAGTTCCAGAGCAGCTGCAATGGACATGGACAGTTGAGATGACTAACAAAGCAGTCTGGCAGTGTGGCCCAATCCCTGCTGACAAGCATCATCAGTGATGTCCACAAAGCTGCCTTGTGTTTCAGAGAGACCACACAACCACTAGATGCCTCACAGCAAAGGGAGCAGAGTGAGAAGAGAGAGGTCTTCTTTTCCTTTTCTAAAGGTTTTTTTTTTTTTCTTTTTTTAAAATTTATTTATTTTTAAAGGCAGAGTTACAGAGAGGCAGAGAGAGAGAGAGACAGACAGACAGACAGAAAGAGACAGAGAGAGAGAGTCTTCCATCCACTCACTGGTTCACTCCCCAAATAGCTGCAATGGCCTGTGCTTGGTCCATCTGAAGCCAGGAGCTAGGAGCTTCTTTCATTGTGATTTTTTTAAAAGATTTATTTTATTTATTTGACAGAGTTACAGAGAGAGGTAGAGACAGAGAGAGAGGTCTTCCATCTGCTGGTTCACTCCCCAGATGGCTGCAATGGCCAGAGCTGTGCCAATCTGAAGCCAGGAACCTTTGAGTCTCCCAAGTGGGTGCAGGGGCCCAAGGACTTGAGCCATCCTCTACTGCTATCCCAGGCCATAGCAAGAGAGCTGGATTGGAAGAGGAGCAGCCGGGACTAGAACCGGCACCCATATGGGATTCTGGTGCTTCAGACCAGGGCTTTAACCTGCTGTGCCACAGTGCAGGCCCCTCATTGTGATTTTGATTTGCATTTCCATCATGGCTAGTGATATTCAGCATTTTTTTCATATATTTGCTAGTCACTGGAACTTCTTCTTCTATCCTTTTTATAAAGCTCTAAAAATATATTCTTTCTTTCTCTGCAGGTATTACAGAATTCTGATGTGGAGTTCATTTTCTCTCAGCAGACTAAAGCTGCCTTTCCACCAGCATCAGGCTTCCATTGTTTTGCCTGCAAAGCAGGTGTCAGACATATCATTTTGATGTGGATGAATAATCACAACACATCATACCACATACATTCAAGAATGTGAACGAAAATTCAAATTTTGAGTATTATTATTTACCTATGGGATTTTAAATCTAGTGAGTCAAGCTACATTTAAGAAGATTTTAAAAATCCAGACTTTTATATCATACAGCCTGATTTTTTTTTTTTTTTTGACAGGCAGAGTGGACAGTGAGAGAGAGAGAAAGGTCTTCCTTTTGCCGTTGGTTCACCCTCCAATGGCCGCCACGGCTGGCACACCGCACTGATCCGATGGCAGGAGCCAGGAGCCAGATGCTTTTTCCTGGTCTCCCACGGGGTGCAGGGCCCAAGCACCTGGGCCATCCTCCACTGCACTCCCTGGCCACAGCAGAGAGCTGGCCTGGAAGAGGGGCAACCGGGACAGAATCCGGCGCCCCGACCGGGACTAGAACCCGGTGTGCCGGCGCCGCTAAGCAGAGGATTAGCCTAGTGAGCTGCGGCGCCGGCCCATACAGCCTGATTTTCAATAAGCACTTCAGAGAAGAGGTGATCACAATAGTAGGGCAAAGGAATTTTAGAGCAAAATCCAAAAATATCCACGTGGCATTCAAACTGATTAGAATGTTGTTAATTAAACCTAAATATTTAGTTTGTACATATGTGAATCTGGACTCATTTTCTTGAGGCTTGTTTTCAGTTGGTTGGTTGGCTGTGTGGTTTCTGTTGTGGTGCTGGGCTTTTTTTTGTTTTTAGATTTTTTTTTTTTTTTTGGTCACTTACCAGGAAGTTTTTTTTTCACCCCCACAGGCAGAGTGGATAGTGAGAGAGAGAGACAGAGAGAAAGGTCTTCCTTTTGCCCTTGGTTCACCCTCCAATGGCCGCCGCACCACGCTGATCCAAAGGCAGGAGCCAGGTGCTTCTCCTGGTCTCCCATGGGGTGCAGGGCCCAAGCACTTGGGCCATCCTCCACTGACTTCCAGGGCCACAGCAGAGAGCTGGCCTGGAAGAGGGGCAACAAGGAAAGAATCCGGTGCCCCGACCGGGACTAGAACCCGGTGTGCCGGCGCTGACAAGGTGGAGGATTAGCCTACTGAGCCACGGCGCTGGCCGCCTACCCATTCCTTATACTTTCCCTTTAGAGGCATAATTATAACCAGCTCCATCTATCTTCAACAAACAGACTTATAATCACTTATCGGTTATTCCTCAGTAAGTCATATGGCCTTAGTAATTGTCACAATTCTAATTCAAACCCCATGAAGTTTTATAGGAGCCACTCTCTAATAATCGCACATGGCCTTACTTCCTCATTATTATTCTGCCTAGCCAATTCCAACTACGAGCGCATTCACAGCCGAACCATACTACTAGCCCGAGGGCTTCAAACTATCCTGCCACTAATAGCAGCATGATGATTACTTGCCAGCCTAACTAACTTAGCCCTACCACCTACCATCAACTTATTAGGAGAGCTTCTCATCATCCTTTTCATGATCTAATCTCACTATTATTTTAATAGGGACTAATGTTCTAATTACAGCACTCTACTCCCTCTATATATTATCAACCACTCAAAGAGGCAAATTTACATATCATAGAAACAACCTTTCCCCAACATTCACTTGAGAAAATACTTTGATAATACTTCACCTAGCCCCACTTCTCCTCTTAGCTATTAATCCAAAGATCATTTTAGGCCCAATGTTCTATAAATATAGTTTAAAAACATTAGACTGTGAATCTAATAATAGAAGATCATCCCTCCTTATTTACCGAGAATGTTTTCAAGAACTGCTAACTCATGCACCCATGCTTAACCCCATGGCCTTCTCAACTTTTAAAGGACAGAAGTAATCCATTGGCTTTAGGAGCCAAAAAATTGGTGCAACTCCAAATAAAAGTAATTAACTTATTCTCCACCTCTGTAGCTGTATCAATTATTATTTTAGTCCTCCCTATTGTGGCCTCTTTCACTAACATTTTTAATAGTCCTAACTACCCTCACTACGTAAAAACTTCGGTATCCTACACATTTATCATTAGCCTTATCCCAACACTAATCTTTATTGAAACAAATCAAGAAATAATAGTATCCAACTGACACTGAATAAAAATTCACACCCTAAAACTAATATCCAGCTTTAAACTAGATTACTTTTCCATACTATTCACCCCAATTGCACTTTCTGTAACATGATCCATTATGGAATTTTCCATATGATATATACACTCAGACCCTAAAATTAATCAATTCTTTAAATACCTACTCATATTTCTTATTACCATGCTAATTTTAGTTACTGCCAATAACCTCTTCCAACTATTCATTGGGTGGGAGGGAGTAGGAATTATATCCTTCCTCCTCATCGGCTGATGGCATGGCCAAGCAGATGCTAATACTGCAGCCCTGCAAGCAATTTTATATAATCACATTGGAGATATAGCCACAGCCTGATTTGTTATTAACCTCAACACATGAGAGTTTCAACAAATATTTACTACAGATAACAATATTACAATCCTCCCACTAATTATTCACAGCCTCAATGATGAACAAGACATCCAAAAAACAGGAGGTCTGTACAAAACACTACCTTTAACATCTTCCGCTCTTACAATTGGCAGTTTAGCTCTCACAGGTATACCATTCCTAACAGGCTTTTACTCAAAAGATCTAATTATTGAATCAGCAAACACGTCTAATACCAACGCCTGAGCCCTTATCATCACTCTTATTGCCACATCCCTAACAGCTGTCTATAGCACTCGAATTATCTTCTTCGCCCTCCTGGGTCAACCCCGTTACCCAGCCCTTATTATTATTAACGAAAATAACCCTCTACTCATCAACTCTATTAAACGCCTTGCACTA